CAGCTGGGCTGCAGATTGTCCTACTCTCAGCAAAAGGCATGATTCAATTTGAGGTTCTGACTGCTAACCTTGAGCATTTCTGATGTTGAGTACTGACCTCCCTGTTGAACTGATCCTTTCAAGTCATACCTACCCTTGTGAAACATTTTTATGATTGCATGTAGTGCTACAGACAATATTGACAGGCATTTGCCTCCCTCACACCCCCAGCTCCACAAAAGAAGGAAGTCTTGAAGAGCCTTCATACTTGAGTTCATATCATAATAGTCTCAAGTTTTAGTTTGCAGCAATCTATGATGACATTATGTTAGTATCTCTCAAATTCACACACTTGTTTTTCACATAAGTAGCTTTATCTTCATGGCTTTAAGTAATGCTGAAAAACACTGCACATCAGTTCACGATTATGGTTCTTCATCATTCTTGATATGGCTAAGCAACTACCCTTTATGTCTTTTGGAATTTGAGGTCTAATATACATAGGATCTGAATCTACCAGTATGGGGTTGATGGTGTAGTAATGAGCCTGGAATCACTTTTCCTTAGTGTCATCACCTTTGTGCTCCTTTCAGAGAACACACTGAGTGGAATACAGTCATTTCAATTCAACCTATCACACAGGAAAATACGTTTGTGAGCATTCTGAACATATTAGTTGAACACCAATACCAGATGATAATTTTATGAACAGAAGTCAGAGAGATAGAAATATCTGCACCCTGGGAAATAAATTTTAAAATGGAGAAAATAATTTATTTCTGAGTTGTGCTGGCCCTGTTTCAGTGAAGTCTAGAGGAATATTTGTAGCCCCCTTTAAGTTCATTTACCGTAATGTAAGTGCTGCTGCTGCTGCTGCTTTGCTGTCTTTGTCCACCCTACATGGGAAAAAATTTTTAAGAGGAATTATGTACTAAGACATTTCAAGAAGCAACTCCATCCTTTTATCTACCAGCCAGTTTGAAAATCATAAAGAGTTCATTAGACCTTTTCTTATGCCATACCATCTCCATGTGATACAAAATGTATATAAAGATCCTTCAAAAATAAAGTGCTAAAACTATTTATACACTTTGATATCATGTTCTTAAAGAAAATTCATTGTATAACACATCATTGTGTCATATTGAGGTATTTCAAGGGAGTTTAAATAATTCTGCCCTTCAGTGATACCACACAAACCATTAAAATCATATCCATTTGTATTCATATTATGACTGAATTTTCATGACTAAGCATGACAAACTCCTGACAGAGGCTTTGTCAAAACATGAATTGAAAAAGCCATGGTTACAATTAAGCCAAAGGAAAAGTCACTGCAGAAAATATTTTGATTCCCATGATGTATATGGATTATGAGTAGAATCAAATATAATTTATATCTACATATTGAAAACTCTTAACCTGTGTAATCAAAACACTGTACATTTAAATTCAGAAACAAAATAACAAGGAAATTTTATTCCTTTCTCTGTCAGCATTCATCACTACTCATGAAAGAACATAATGCTATACATCTTGAAAGCAATGATTTTCAAAAGACCAATTTCATCTGGGATAACCTGCTACTGATCTTTCAGTGAAAGTGAGAATTTGCTGTAGTCTAACAGACTGGCATATGAAGGAAGGGAAGCCTAAAGAGTTGGATGTAAGTTGAAATTGCAAAGGACCCAGAAAAAACCCAGTTGCAATGGTCTTTAATCAGCAACCAAGTAAGATATCAACTTTGCTGTAGTCACAAAAGCACCCTACTCCACTACTGAAGTTATATCTAAATTATTCACACTTACTTGTTCTCTGAGAGGGAAATAATTACTTAATTTATTGAGACAAAGCTTCATTTAAAACTCAAGTGTAATGGAGAAAGAATGTCTACCTGTACTATGATCCTTGTAGCAGAACTTCCCAAACTCTGAAAATAAAGTCCAGAAACAAAGAAAACATAATATGGTAAATTTAATTGCCTTGTTTAAATGCAAAGCACTTGAACAGAAAATACCAAGTTTATATATACCACTTAGTTTGTGAAAAGAAAGGGAAAGGTCATATGTGTGATGTACCAATTCTTAACACCCAGCATTAAACTAGTTCATTCTCAGCTCTGAAAGTCTGGGGAGTCAGACTGGCCCTACTACATAATTTTCTATGCTTACATCTGCTTCTGTTACAACTTATATGGGGAGCAGCAGAGCACAGGCTATGCCCTCTCTGCACTAGCAGTCAGCTTGGCTCTTCCAAATGTGCTGAGTGAAGCTAAGACACCATCATCACTGCAGCTCTCTCGCTGTCACCTGCATTGGACATACGTCACCACACATGCAAATCCAGTTCCTGATCCAGCCATTTGTTTGCTGAATTCTGGGGCATGAGGGACAAATGTGGAAGCGTAACACACACGCCATCCTGAGAAACTGGTTTGATTCCATAAGAACTGTAATACTAATATAGAAATAATAGGAAAAAAGTATGCTTACCTGGGGAAAAGTATGACGCTGCAAATGAAACAAAACAATTTTTACTTATTTTGCATGAGGGCTTGTCTAAACAGAACATTGCAGCAGAGAAAGGGAAAAAGGGCTCTTATCTTTTGGATGCAATACACAATCAAATGTCAAAGAATGATATAAAAAGGACAGCATAGAACAAATGCATCTTAATCTTCATTCAGGTTAGAACAACATGTTCTATTACAAATTTAGCTCCGATAAGATATTACATCATACAAACTCATTTTAAACTCCTAAAAGCTAAACTTAGTTTTAACTGACTGTATGAGTTCCAAATAAGCAGAGTGGAAACTTAAGAGTTTAAAAATGAGAATGGAAGTGAATTTACAAAAGAAAATTGCAATAGAAACAGAAATTATTCAGGAACACAGAGACTGAATGCATTGAGAGACCTGGAATCTGCAGCTAATCCAGTCCCTCTGCAACCACTAACAGCAATCACAGAAGCACAAGATTTGTACCTATCTTATAACTGGCTTTCCCTGAAGATAATTATGCACATAGGGTAAACCCTGCCTGCCAGAGAATTGTCTCCACGCACCAGGACTCTTTCTGAAAAATTAATAAATGTAGATATTTGAAAGCTCTTTGAATCAAAATTCTCAGTATTGTAAAGAAAAACTGCTTACCACAGGTGGAAAAGGGTTGCTGTTGGCAACGACCACTACCTATAGAGAAATCAGAGGAAGCTGTTTACTCATCATAGTGTCTATTTAAACTGTTAAATACGTTAGAAAAATGAAGAATACTGAAATCTCTATATTTACAAACTCTGATAATAATGCTATGGGTGGTCACTTTTATTAAAAATTTTAACACGCATTACCAAGCAAAGAAGAATGTTTATGTACACATGGTTTACATAAGAGTGTAAGGAAATAAAAGACTTGCTCCCAACCACACAATGACTCAGTTGTAGAGGCAGAAGCAGGATTTCCTGTATTGTACCATATCCATTGGCCTGTACTGTGTGTGCTTTTTGATCTTCGATTTTCCACCCCAAACTAGAAGATTAATTTATTTTGTCATTATTCAATATTATACTAAAAAAAAGACTTCATGTTGAGTTTATTAAAAAAAAAATGAAGCCAAATGCAGACACAATGAGGTGTTAATGTTTTCTCACTAAAGCTCTCCCCTCCTTTTTTTTTTCAAACTGAAAGCAGTTTGTATTATCCAGGGGTGTGAAAAGGAAAAGGAGAGTTGGTGCTCTCAGAAGTAAAGAATTCTAGTATAGAACAAGAAGAAGTATTAAAAAATAATTGAACGGTATGTCTTAAATTCTTAAAACAATGGTAAATTAAAATGAATAAAAACATCTGTGAGGACAGGAATTGTTACACTTTGTGTTTACTGAACACACGATAGTATTAGCACTGAGCTCCCTGGGGACTGAAAGAGTCCATTTAAACATAGTCATGAGTCAAATTCAACAATAAAATGAATTCTATTGATTTCACTTTCTCTGAGCCACACTTATTCTCAACCCCCGTATGAAAAATAACTACGTAATCTATATACTTAAAATCCTAATTACATCACAATTACTATCCTAACTTTTTAAAAAGAAACATGTATTTTACATACAATTGAGTCAGCTATCAGCAAGAACCACCACAGCACAGCTAGTTAGAATAAAGTTTCTAAGTACCAAAACAAATTAAATCATATGAATCAATCTGGGTTAAAACCTTGAAAAATCCTAAATGAAGTAAAAGGAGTTGTGCCAAGTTATAACTGTAAGAGTTTTTCCCTTTGAAAAGGAGAGCTTACCTTCTTACTGGAATCAGAGCTGCTTGAAGGGACAGACTGTAAAGAACACAGAATCCATTTTTTGCTTAGGTAAATGTATGGCACTTTAACTACAGCACTATTTTTCACAAGAATGTTTTGCTAACATGATTTCCCTGAAGTACCAAACAAAATAAGATTCTGAAGAAAAATATGAATGTATTGGCAATTACTAAATGAACAATCAAAATAAATTAACTAGCTTGATTTTTTTTCTAAACACCCAATTATTTTGTTATTTTTACAGAGCACTGTATAAAAGCTGCAAATGTTTCATTTAACATCAGATTGGAAGTTTGTTTATAGTAAAAATAATCTATTGCTAGAAAAAAAATTAAGCTCTTCTACCTTCATCAAAAAGGAAAACAACCCAAACTCCAGAACCCATCTCCTCAAAATTAAAAACCCTACAATTACAACAACATCTGGGAAAAAATGAGATATGCCATCAGAAGATAAATGTTTTAAATTAAGCATAACATAACGTGCAGTGAAGTTATCCATTTCATTAACCAGTATGTACAATTGCATAGGCAAAAGCCAGAAAAAATGTTTTAATTCTTAGTAACTATCAAAGAAAGTCACTGACTTCTGGAAAATCATAACAAAAGTGACTGGTGTCCATTTTCAGAGTGAATATAACTGAGTTTCAGTGCAAAACAGGACTAAATAACTTCTAGCAAAGTGGATATAACAACATACATCAAACATGTAACTCATCTGCTGAAGTTATTTCCAGATATTGTTACTGAACCATTTGAAGGTAGTTCATATTTATCCCCTTTCATAAGTTTAATTATTGTTTGGTAAAAGTTGGGCATAACTGCTTAGCCCTGAATACCTTAGGAAATTGAAAACATGTTGGAAAACATGTAGTTACCTGGCCATAGGAAATGCCGGATGAAGATGCACTCTGAAATAAAAACACAGAACAGGTATTTATTTATATCATAATTTGTTAATTATAGCTAGAAGTCATCCTTAGATGTACACTTCAAATGAAGCTGATTTTACCTATACTTGAAATAAATCTAGGGCAATAGTAGAGTATACTGAACTTGCTTAAAGATAACTGACGTAAAATTTTCCCGAATTCTACCATGGTCATAAGCTTACTGCTGCTCTATCAAAAATGCACTTTACACTTACATACTAAACAAAGATAAAATATATTTAAAGTTTAGGAACTAATATTATTAATGATGTATTTAAAGTTGAGCACATGATCAAGCAGTTTCTTGGCTAGGGTTTCAGTTCCTGACAGGCATTAGAGAGTGTGTTCTCCTTCTGATAAATATTTCTACTTGCTTTTGTGATTTTAAAAATATAAAATATATCAGATTGTAAAATAAACCTGTTTTCAAGTGAAAATGAAAGAAATGAGATTGACAATAGAAATTTCTCTACTAACTAAAGAATTACTGGATTAATACATAAAGATTTTAAAAAAACCCAAATAGTATTGCACAATATGCAATATCCAAAGACAATTACTCTGATAAAAAGCCTTACACAGTAAGAATTTTGACATTTTAGTAGGCTAACAAATCAAGCATTTGATATAGGTGATGAGTAGCCCTCATGACATAAATGATTACGCTTTGAGGAACTGACAATGTAACACCTTTTAATTTTGGTTTTTAATCTCAGAATAATATCTCAGACTAACACTGTTTTCCTTGATATATTTAGGAAGAATAATATAGGTCTACAGAAGAGAATCAAATGCAATTTGCAATAAGGAGGTGAGTTAAGAAGCATAGTAAGAGACAATCAGTAAAAACATCCATAACCAGCTTACATCTCTGCAGGCATGTTGACCATAGGTACCAGCAGCACCTCCCTAAGAAAAAAAAAAGAAACAAGTTATTTCTCATCTAAAGCTGCTTAAGAAGGAAAGTCACACTTCAGACAGCCTCAATTCTGACTGATCTTTATGTAAAGAATAGATGATAAGGAGAGCATTGTAGTCTCCACTATAAACATGTGAACATAAGAGCCCTTTGTCTATTAGTGATTATCTAGTGGTACTTGGGAAACATATTAAAATAGGTACTGTTGAGACAGAACTTTAATAAATTATAAAGGTTTTATATAATGCTCGTAATTCAAACATACTATGTATGTCATATGTACGTGCATGTACAAATTAGTAAGCAGAAACCCAAAAGAAACAAAAGCTAACATCTTCCTGATAGATAGTCCATAAATTATAAAATGTAAACGTTCAGCATAAATAGTAATAGTTCCTTTTTTACATAAACCTCAATTATTACTATTATTACAGTCAAATCTCCCCCAAACCTGTAATATTATTTTCTTTGCAAAAATCCAATACACATTGTGATAAATTAATTTGATATTTTGCAAGTACTGATGATATGAATGTTTTGCATTTTTGCACTGTTTCATTTACTTTTCATTTCTTTTCTTTTTATTTTGATGAAATGTTTGGATTAAATACAATTTTTTTATTAAAAAATTAAAACCTTATCTTGAAAGTGCTGAAAGGAAAACAAAATAATTATATATATATTTTTTAGTCCCTACAATTAGTCACCGTCTTGATAAAAATGCTTCAGGTAAGTCTTTGATCTATTCAGCACATTCATTACATTACACTGTTGCATCTTTCAGCTATTTCTGCATGACTGGCTTAACATGTCCAGGATTCATAACTTCACAAGTATCCCTGCTGCCTGAAAAATGAGCAACTGAAATAGCCTTAGTTCTTGCACAAATCTGTGCGACCACTTCTGCGAGAAGGAACTACCCAGAACATGCAGACAGACTTACGCCAGTCTTGTCTTGAGTAGAAGGAAGAATAGATACCTTGTATAATGAGTGTAGTGTAAGTGCCACAGATAACCCCTTCCAGTCCTTTTTTTTTTTTCATGATTCTATAATCTACATGTTTCTATTTAACTTTTTAACTTCTCTGTTTTCCAACTACTTAATATCATTGAATAAACTGTAATATTCATCCTCGAGATCTCTCTTCTTTATTCTCTGTTTGCAATAGAAACTCCCACATGAACAGTCATATTAAATAATACCATTGAAGGCTACGAGTTACTATAAATATAGTAATGCTAGGAACAAAAGAGTAAATGTAAGAATAGTGCTTACAGGGCCACATCCACTGCTGCTTATTGTGTAGACTACTCCACCCTGAAATAAAAACAGAAGTCAATTATTTCCATGTAAAAAAAAAAAGGGGGAAAGACAAAAAAACCCCAACAAACTGCTGTTTATGGCATGAAGAACTGTGCAGCTGACAATATGTATGTGCTACTAAGGGATAAACAAGTACAGAGGTTACCAGTTCACTGGTAACTGCCTGTAACAATTCTAATTTAGTATGAGACATTAGTCATCATCTTTATTTCACGTAACTTCCATATAACTCTGTCATTGGTCATGAAACCTTTCAAAATTTTACGAAGTGCTTCATATTTTATAAAAAATTAATAACTTTAGGTATTTAGTGCCAAGATGAGAAACTCAGCTCTTAGAAAAGAATGTGTATTATATATGAAACAAATACATTGCAGAAAATTGGGGTTTAGCATATACATCAAAATAATTTGTATTTCTCGATATGTGGTAATTCCAGTTACAAGTAGTAGATTGAAGGAATGGAATATTACTAGATAATTCACTAGTAACGACTAGTAAGTAATAAGAAATGTATTCTTGAGAAGCTGGAGACATATCAGAAAGCATCGAAGAGTTAAAGGGTAAATAGGCAAATTAATGGTAGTGAAGATAATTAAAACCCAAGTATATATTTCTGTGATAAATAAAATAAAAGTGGTAAGTGAAAATGCAGACACACCCCAGAAGTTTTAAAAGGCTAACTAGACAGTGATTAGACCCCAAATTTTCAACTGCAAATATAAGCCAGTATTAAAAGCAATATAGACATTATACTGGAGCTTTAATATGGGCATGAATATCTGGGGAAGTTCGGGGAAATTTTGTAAATTCTTGTGGAAAAGACAGTGAAACTCAAGTATATTTAAATATTTCATTTTGACTATTAAAAAAGAGGGAGGAAAAAGGAAAAATACCTGACAAATTAAGAATAGGTAGTTTCATTTTCATTATGCCAGATGTCACTAAAACTATGAAATAAATGGTTTGTGACTGTGTTTGCATGCACACATGCACACACAGGTAGGAAACCTCTAGGAATATGGAAGAAATATTTTTTTCCTGAAAAGGGTCACGTTAATGCTTGACAAAAATGATTAAAGTGTGAAATCAAAGGTAGTGAAGCAGCTTGTAGGTAAAAATACTGACAGCAAGCTATTGAGTTCAACAGAGTGGAGGTAATTGAACTTAGTCCAGGTACTAAACATATTGTTTACTGGATGAATAACTCTGCAATTCTGTGTGAACTAGCAGAGAAGATATTTCAGTACAGTGTTAAATCACCTCAATACTCTGTAGTTACACTATTTTAGCCATTCAAGATTACTACAGGAAAACATACAAATGCTGGAATTTAGGGCTCATACCTGACTGCCTGAATAGCTGCTCTGAGAGGAACCCGAAGGTCCAACCTGTAAAGAAACCAAAATGGTATTTAATATTTTGCAGGAAAATTATTTTATGTAAGTGATTTTCAGGAAAGAAAGTTCTACTTGGTAGGAAAAGGAAAAAACCCCAAAGTAATAACCTAAGACTTCATACCATCAACTGATACTATCAAAATTATTTCAGAGATCTTTCAAGCCAAATAACCAAAACTATACCGAGCCAGCTGTTATAAGTAACATAATTCTGCTGTTTGCATCCTTGTTTATCTGACCTCATACAACTTTGTCCATCACTGAGGAGGGAAACCCACACTGTCACAAGCAGAATAAAGCCTTTTACTGATATGACTATGTGACCACTAACATATTTGCTGTAAAAAAGTAAAGAAGAAAAAGAGGCTTCTTCACTGAGCTGCAACTGATAGTTTTCAGAGGAAAAAAATCAAATTGTTATATTTTATATCTAGATCATGATTTGCAAAAGGTAAGGTTTTAGAGCTGTTAGAATGAGTGATCTTGAACAGCAAGCAATCACTATGAATAAAAAGTGAAGACAGAAAAATAAAAATCCTATAAGAAAGTTACTTCAGATTAGCTAGAGAGAACCTGCAGAAGGAAATGACATGGCTCACAACGATTTAAAAGGTTTTGAATTTTAATCAATAAAGGTGAATTGCCAAAAAGGAAATTAAATTGAGTAACAAGAGGGAGAAGTGACTAGAAGCAGTTTTTGACCAGGTCTTAAGATCTTGGGCAGTTAGCAGCATTGCCAATGTCTTTGGAGAAAGAATATTTACCATGATGCATCGGCCTTGTGTTGTGTAAGTCCCTCCACGCTGCAAGAAAATACAGGTTCCAGTTACTGGTTATATAAGTGATATATAAATACCAAATTACTTTAAACAGGAAATCAACTGAATTCACATTCATGCTCTGAGTGAAGAAATCAAGTGTTTCATTGCTGACAACATATTACACACTTTAACAATCTCATCTGAGAACCAATATTAACTAATTAAAAATAACAATACCTTCAAAACTGAATACAAAAATGAAAGCATAAATGAGATCTCTCTAGGAAAGTAATTTGAATGGTACAATATAATCTTCATGCTGCAAGCATGAAACAAGTGGAGCAGTAGGACAAGAATTCTAAAACTGTGGTAAATGAAAACTGGGAAATTGAAGAAAAGTTGCTCTTACCTTGTTACATTCTACTTCTATCATAAGCTGTGGGGGGAAAAAAGGAAAAAAGAGGAAGCATTACCAAATTATTTATTGCAGAAAAAAGTGCAGCTTATCAGAGGAAACAGGAAATAATTTTGGTGAAGTGTGAGACTAAAGACAGGTGTTCACTCTTCTAGATCACGAGCTCATAAATCAGTGCTGCTACAGTCAAGAACCAATATGGTAGACTTGAACAGGCTTTTTTTACTTAAGTGGACAACTATGTTTAATATGTTTCATATAAGCATAATTCTTGGCAAAAAAAATTTAGCAAATTCCTTTCTAAGGGTATGCTGCACAGCTATAGTTCCCAGTGACTGGGGTAAGAGTTAAGAACAGCATAATACACCAAAAGTACAGTACAGTTCTCCTTATGACCAATTTTCTTTTCTTTTCTTTTTCTTTATGGTATGGGTTGTTTTGATAACTAGATTATTACTTCTCTTACTTCTGTGGGAGAAAAATAATATTTGCTGTACTTTTTCATCATTTTAGTAAGAGGATTAGGCAGATTAAAATTATTGAAAACATGTAATGATTTTGGTCATCTTAGTTAATGAATAAATGACAACAAATACATGTCCTATATCAAGTCAAAGATACTTTAATTTACTGTATTAATTTCTAGTATGCAAATACACTCAAAACATACCTTCCTTTTACTTTTTCCTGTCCCATTAACTGACTCAGAATGTGTAGGTGTGAGAGTTTTGCTTTGAATTCCAACCCAAAAATTCTCTAGATTTTGAACAACAGTTGCACTAGGAAAAAACCAAAATAATAATTCTTTTTTGATCAAAATATTTCAGTATAAAATATCAATATACTCTCCTTCCCCCTTCCCCCAGCCAAGAAAATCCACTGTATTTTGGTTTTTGAGGTATGCAATACAAGTTTCACAGAACACTTTTCCAGTGACTTATATTTTATTATCACCTGACGTGATTTTGAAGACAAATGAAAGAGATGCTGAGATAAGCAGAAGAGGAATGGACACTATTTGAAGAAACACTGACCTCAGTGAAGAGTATCAGCTCCAACACCCATAAGAATTGTCACAACTCTTTCCTAATCTGACAGTCTATACCTATGATGGTGAATTGATTTTCACGGCATTAATGAGTAGAAACAATTGTAGTTTTGTGTTCCTTTGCCCATTCTTTGTATTCCTCAAGATATAAAGAAGCAAGGCAGAGATGGCCCTATCATAAATTTGCACTTCAAACAATTCAAGCTGTCAAATATTTAGATATTTCCCAATTACATCAAGTATGTATTTTGTTAGACCAGGTGGTATTTTTACAAGCTTCAGATCTCCAAGAAAAGTAGCATTAAAAGTAGGATAAATTTGTCTTCTCCTGTTTCAGGAGTTTCAGCAGTTAGTTCATGGGTCATAAACTGATTTTCAAATTTATTTTAGAAGAATTTACATCAATCTACTATTCCACTGTTCAACATGAAAAAAGGCATAATTGAACAGAGCCTGAACTTCCTGTATTCAGGGAACTAGTTACATTCATTTTGTTGCTGTTGTATTAAAGAGGTCAAAGTGTAAAAACCTGTTACTCAAAGATCCATTAATAACATTGTGCTTAATGGAATTATTTACATGTATTAAGATCTGTAGGACAGTGTCTACCTTTTACACTATATCTTGAAATGGAAATCATATTATTCAATAGACATAATGGGAAGTTATGACAAACTATGAAAAAAAGTATGATGGTGGCAAGACAAGAACATCAGAAACAAAAGCACAGACCTATCTCAAAATATTCCATAGAAATAAAATTTCAGGGGGAAAAAAATAAATAAAAAAGAAAAAGTTATTTACATAAATTGAAGCTCTCCAACATCATGCGGAGCAATCCATGTTGTTGTAACCTTCTGTTTCACATCTGAATTTGCATGACTTATTGCTGAATTCTGCAATTAAAAATAAATAGATATATAAGATGCAAAAGTGATTTTACCTATATTATTAAGGGAACTGTCTCTACTACAAAAGGTAACACTGATGTCCTCCTAAGAAAGTCAAGTAGTTTCTACATTAGATTCATATCACATATAGAGAATGCATGTAGTTCTCGAAAAAGTCTAATTTTTTTAACCCCTTCTGCTGAAGTAGCTTTGCCATATAAAAAATGCTCACTATTTCTATTATTTAAAAGAAAACCAAGGTTAATTAAGTATTCCAAAGACTGAACACATACCGTCATATTATGACATTCCAAGCCTTTGGTGTTTGGATCTGTAATTTTAAAAGTACCAACAGGAGTATCTCCATCTATTTCTCGAGCTTGTAGATTAAATCCTTTAAAACCAGCTTCTCCAAGTGCTTCTAGAGTCACTGTGAAAGAGACATTTTGAGAAATTTAAGTTTCATATGCTACTAAAACCTCCTAAATGTGTAACATCTAATTTCCTTTACACCAAGGCACAAGAGTGGATGTGTACAATTTTAAAAACCAATTAAAAAGCTTTTCTCAATTATAAGCAGAGTGACTATAAGGGAAAAAATTTGGAGAGGGGCTTCTGTGTAAAGTAACACGAAATTTTTCATTTACTGACAATTTTAAAAGGAATTCTGCTCTACCAAATGATGAGTAGCCCTGCTGACCAAAAGATTATTTATTTTCTGTCTAATTAGGCCTACAAAGTCAAAATATCTACAGGAAAAAGAGAAATGCATTTCTTCCTACCTCTGTTTTAAAAGAAAAGATTAACTTTTTCCTAAGGCTGAATTGCAGACACATTTTTGTTAAAATGTATTACAACTGGAAAGAGAGAAACTAGACAGTTTCATTTTCATGTTCTATATTAAGTACAAAAAATCAATAATTATATGAGCTACCCAATTTTATTCAACTTCTGTTACTGAAGGAGTTCAGAAAAATATGGGAAAGGGCAGTCTTCTGTTTTGTTTATATCCAAACAAAAATTAAATTTCAAAAGGCATAGTCAAATTTTTTATGGTCTACTAAAACTTTGCTCTGCTACTTCCATTATTAGGCACTTTTGCAAATAAAATCAGAATAATGGTTTATGCACAAAGGTATGTGCAGTCATTAAAAATAAAGAGGGATGAACTGGAATGACACAGAAGTCAAGGCAAGGACCAATCCTACCCTGGTAATTTAACATTTCCAAACAGCTGCATAATTAGCCTTCCAATTTGTCATCAACTTTCAGTCCTAATTCACTAATTTTCCCCAGGTCTCACAGAAGCAATGACATCCAGCACTTGAATGCAGAGTTAAATCAAGCAGAGATGAGACTGTAAGAGTGTTGGCACATGGAACGCCATGGGTCAAACTGCAATATATTCAATGAAAGGGCAACCTCATGCAGCTCCCTGAGACGAGGTACTGGGTGCTCATTATTTGAAACAATAGAAAAGTAGTGGTAAAAATAAAAAAAAAATTAAAAAAAAAGGAGGGCAAAAAAGGTAAGGTTAGTAGCATCTGGGCTTCAATATTTTTGTCATGGTAAATTCCATTTAACCTCACAGAACAGTCTGCATGTACTTAAATCAATCCACCATTTTTCTGTCAATACTATTCTAAAAGTAGCTATCTGTAATCAAACAGCCCTCCCATCCTTGAAGGAGCTATTCACGTTTTTCCAAGAATGGCAGCTATAAAAGGGCTCTGATGCTTCTCCGTTCTTTTCCCCTTATATATCACTCTGCGTGGAAGCCACATTCATGCCACATGGTTCAAGTAAAACAGCATTCAGTAGCTACTTAGTGAATAATGCTCTTTTTCAGCTACTGAGATACAAAACCAGACATGTAACAGGTTATAATGCTCTTCCACTTCCATGCTCCTTCTAACACGAATAGTCAGAAAAAGAAGCATTCACAAGCCACTTGAAGTGTGACAGCACCATGAGATGGCATCATAGTGTGGAGAAACAAGGCTGTTAAGGTGTCTCATCCAGAGAGCAATTTAGGATTAGGAAGATAAAAAGGTGGTTTAAACCACAATAGCTCCACCCCCTGCAATTTGATAAAATCTGGGATACAGTTCTTAGAAGGATGACTCAAAGTGTCTCACTCTTGAGTTGTCTCATACTGCGTCCTGAATTCTTATTTTCCTGAAAGATGACAGCATGTGAACAACTAATGAGTAGGATCCCTTTGTATTGCAGAGGCCGGTTCAACAGCAAATACTCAAATACAAGGTTAGTGAGCAACTAATTATTAGTCCAGTTTGGTCAGTTGTCCCATTTAATTTTAATTTTGTTACAAAAATTGCAGCATACAGTTAAGATATATTTATTAGATGGAAAAAAGAAAAAAGAAAGAATACATTTTGAGTTATACATACATATATAAAAACATTTAAAAAAATAATGTATCAGGTATAGACGAACAAGATTGAAGTAGAAAAGTAAATTATCTAGACTGAGAAGGAAATGGGGGAATTTTTATGAACACTGGTATTTCTAGAAGACAAAAAGATGTTATGTTGTTGAGGTTAGTTACCTTGGATTTCATTTCCTGGCTCAAAGTTATCAAAAGATACAGCAATAATATATGGTGGTGCAGATGTCTGTGGTTCAGTTTCATAGTTTGGTAACAGAGAATCACAATCGATTGAGGTGTTTGTCTGTGGAAAACTGAGGATTCCAGGCAAAAATACCCCACAGAACAAAAAAACAAAGCAGGAGGGTCTCCTCATCTGTGGAACAAAAAGACAGTATAGTTCATAGTAACTTCTTTTTAGTAGTTGCCATGATTGACAAATATTGGCTTTTCTCCAGGACAGGAAACAGAACACACGCCTAGAAAGCTGCACTTTCTTTGCATTCACATATTTTGAAGAGAATACATTAAAGTAAAATACTTCTATACACTGGCAGAACAGAGCAATAAGAGGCAAAAAAAATTTCATTTTCAAGTACTGAATTATTAATGGAACTTTAAATTCCCGGGTTACATGACAGCAATCCATTAACAGCCACGTCTGCTGCATTACACCTTTGAACTGGAGAAGTCTTTAAACAAAGTTCCTCATTGTTGCATTGGCAGATTTAGCTGCTTGATTATTCAACAACTGAGATGCAATCCTTGCTCTCTCAAACTGTAGATATAACCATGACTAGCATGTTCTCTTTTGACTGTTTTCTCTACTCTTAATTCCAAGATACAGTCAAGAAATCTATTCAAATGCCCCAGAGAACTCTTGAAGTTTTTCAAAATATTGATTCTTGAAGGACTTAACAATAGACTTCTGCAAAGTCCTCTGGAACTTCTAAATAATGTAAAAATACTAAGTTGCAAGTGCATGTTTCCTATGGGCAAAGAATAAATTATACCCAGTACAGAAATTTACAAAATGTAACTAAGAGGCAGGATTGAAGTCCAGCCTTCAAGGACTGTCTGTGAAAAGAAGACATATTTTCTTCATAATTCACTTGTAGTATTGACACTGATTGTAAACTGTTTCAATGAAAAAAGGGAAACATTTCCCAACAGTATTCTCAGTTGTTTAATATCAGATTTTATGGCCCATGTTCAAAGTCTAAACGTTCAACCATGGCACCACATAATTTGCCAGGCCATTACATCCTATGAATAACTCACTGTTCCAGCTACAAAAATGCTGATACAACTGTTAAATCACAAGAAGAATTTAATAATGCTATTTTACATGCTGTCTGCTACAGGACTGCCTTATGTGACACAGACAGTAACAGAGAGAATGAAGATACTTAATTGAGATTTTCTAAAGCATTTCAAACACCATTTAAGGGATATGTTCAATTTGTATCCTCTACCTGTGTGTCTTAATTTGTGCATGAATGTGTAAGACCATTGGTTTTGCATGTGCTAGTGTAATAAGTATCAGAAGCATCTGGAAGCAGGGGAAAAATGCACAATTCCAAACACCCATGTACTTAACTCTGAACTTAAACAAAATTTTAAAAAGCTACTGAGTCAGCAAATAATAAAACAGGTGACTGTGAAGGGTTGAAAAATTTCCTATAGGAGGAGGAGGAAGGTTTGCATGGTGTCACAGCCAGTCAGTGCAGCAATCAGGAAAGCGATATAAGCAAGTTAACGTGTCTTTAAAGCAGATGAAGATTGTTCCTCTCCAAAGTCTCATCAAAGTGTCACTTAAATGGGATCCTGGTAAGCATTATGTTTTGGTATCAGTATGCTGGGTGTGGTTATCCAATCTCTCGTGACGATTTTGACATGGCCCACCTCTAATTAAGTTTTAAATACAGCATGTAGGTGCTATTATATCAACAGATGTGGTAAACAGTGATTTAATATGAACCTGTCCATATGTTGTTGAAATCTTTGTCTGACTCACGGAGAGATGGAAAAAAAAAATCTGTTTCTAATTAGATGTTCTGTTTCAAAGCACAAAGTCCTTAGTTTAGCTAGGATCGGAAAACTGGCTGGAGCTGCACTCTGCCACAAAAGAAACCCAGCCTGAAACCTCCTTTCCTCTTTTCCTAGCTAGAAAAGAACCAGAAACACAAGCACAACAAGTTGAAACATGGCTGAGATGCCTTCTCTTTGCATCAGCTCTCTGATTTAACAGTTCAACAGGTATCCTAAGAGTCTCATCGTGCCATCTTTTGGAACCAGGTTTTAGATGAGGAAGAGATATAGCGTCTTACAAAATTCCAAGTCCAGACTTGAGACAGAAAATAACTGCCATGAGCCCTGAGTTCCAATACGTATTTAATGGAATCATGTTATCTTGCATCACAAATTTACTTTTTCTCCAAGAAAAATGTAAAGAAACAAAAAGTAAATATTTATATAACAGAAGCATAGGGAATATTTATAAAATAGAAGCATAGGAATATTATTTTCAAGCTTCTAATTGGGTATAATTATGAAAAAATAACTGTATCCCCAGTTCCTTCATCTGATGGAAAAATTCCAATTATTTTTTATCACAGATTCAAACCTTTCTTCCTCTAAGTCTATGTGGCCCTCATCTATATGGCCATCATCACCACCTGAGCTGCTACCTTAAGAATCCTCTTCCATATTTAGTCTAACATGACTTCAGGCCAACAATTAAGTTCCTGAGTGATACTTAGCTCCTGTATTCAAAGTCTACCAGACTCAGGAAGAGACACTTTGGTGGTTTGCCCCTCCAGAGCCTTGGGCAACCTTCTGAATAGAGACAAAAATTGTTTTAAAAGCTTTTAAATATAGGACATTTAATTAATATGATAAATACCTTTCTGTAATTTGAAAAATACAGTCCTGGCAAGTCCTGCCGACAGTTTAGGAGTAAGTCCTGTATACCCCTTTCTAATCGTATTCTTTATGATTATTTTTTCCTTTCTTCTCTTCTCCTAGACACTCTTGATGAGCCACAGACTTAGTCTTTAGCCTTTGAGAAAAAGTATCCCCAGTTGGTGTGCACCCTGTCCACCACATCCCCACCAACACACCTTATTGACCAAGTGTTGATGCGTGGGCATCCTCTGGTCCCTCTGTGGTCAGTGTGGAGGAGCTGCAGCCAGGCAGTGCAGGTGTCCCAGGAAGATGAGAGAGAGGAGATGGAAGGCTTGGCCAATCCGTGGCAGGGCGGGGAACCAGCGCGACCAATCCGGGCCAACTGTGCATCTGCTGTGGAAATTGGGACACCACAGGTGGGACTGTCCTGCCCAGAGCTGGTGGTGACAACACACTCCTCACAGGTGAGTCATGCCCCCTCTGACCTTTATCTAGGCATCTGGCATAGGAAGGGCTTCTGAGGGTTGGTAGCCTAACCTAGTATGTTAACTAAAATCTACAGAATTATGCTTTACAAATAACACCTTACTAATATTTCCTGAGCAATCCCAGTAAAATATTTACATTAGTCTGTTACCTGAGAGTATTCTGCTGCTGGTTTTTCACTTTCTTACTCCTCTCTTACAGTTGGAAAAGACATGGAAAATTCCAATCATTATAGTACTGCCAAGCATTTTCTCAGAGCAAAGAGTTAATGAGGCTGTTTCATCTTATGTACCTTGTGGGAAGGAACTGAAGTTATTCCATCTGACCTGCATTCAAAACTAATTCTTTTCTTTCTTTTCAGAAGCATTTCCATAAGGTCTCTACTGAAGATGGGGAGAAGTCCAAAAGCTGGATGACATATACAATAGAATAGAATATTTTCAGTTGGATGGGATCCACAGTCATTCAGTCTAGTCCAACTGCCTGACCACTTCAGGCAAGGGACAAAGCATGTTGTTAAGGGCATTGTCCAAATACCTCTTAAACACTGACAGGCTTGAGGCATTGACCACCTCTCTAGGAAACCTGTTCCAGTGCATGACCACCCTCCTGGTAAAGAAGTGCTTCACAATGTCCAGTCTGAACCTTCCTGGCACAGCGTTGAACCATTCCCACAAGTCCTATCACTGGATACCAGGGCGAAGAGATCAGCACCTCCCTCTCCACTTCCTCTCCTAAGGAAGTTGTAGAGGGCAATGAGGTCATCCCTCAGCCTCCTTTTTTCCAAACTAGACAAGCCCAAAGTCCTTCGCTCTTCCTCAGAGGACATTTCTTCCAGCCCTTTCACTGGCTTTGTTGCCCTTCTCAGGGCACATTCGAAGACCTTAATAATATGACACACATTCCTATTTAATCAGGGAACTCTGTGATTCTGTGACACCAGGAAATCCATGAACAAAAGATTGTTCACAAGAACCTTCTTTAATTCCTTGATATTCATGGGCTTAAAATATATTTTAAGAACATTATCTATTTTTAGGATTCAGTGCATTTAACTAACTGTATTCTCTTTCAGTTAATCACTTTTAATTAATGAGTGGCATTTTATTTACATTGTTCCATTATGAAATACATTGTTTCCTATCTGCTGGTATCCATTGGGGAAGAGATCATAATCCTTTTTTTCTTACTGTACCACCAAGCTTACCATTAATACCAATGTTATAAATAGCAATGAAAAATCATGCTGCACACCACAAATGCAACAGCATACCGGTAATACCACCAAACAAATTACACAGTAAAGGAATGTCAACTGCTCACACTAGAAACACATAACCAAAGAGATGGGATCTCACAAATGCATGTATGCAAGACCTCCCTCACTCCCAGCTAGAAGAAACTGAGAGGTAAGGAGAGGGATTAGAACTATTTCTCCAGGCTACTCTGAGCAGCAGTGAGTACTCCATGAATATTTGATTTGACAGGCAGATAGATAAATGCCAGGCAATGAATTGCTGTAATCTCGGTAATATGGTTATAAAGAGGCATAGATAAGACAAGCAATGTACTTCTGCTGGCTGTAGTGCTAATAAAATCCTACATTAAATAAGCTGGTAAGGACTCAGACCATTATTTTACGTGTGAGAATTGTAAACCTGCGTCCCTCTTACACAACATACTGCTTGCGGTTTGTTTCAAAGGAACAGTATTCCCACGGAATCAAACATAGAACACTGATTCAGTATTAATTTACCTGTACTGCAGAATTGCCAATGAAAAAAAAAAAAGTCTTTTTCAGGTCTCCACACTTAAAAGGACAATTTTGAGATCATAAATTAAATACCAACTGAACAAGTGGTGAACTCCTGACTCTAGTGAAACCATGATTACAAAGTTTGCTATGTACTCAAACTACTGTGCCAGTGCAGATCAACACTGCTGTACGCCCATGGACTTCCCTGCTGCTTGGAATGCCTTCAATGCAAATTCTCGTGGGAATATTAGCTTTTTTTTTTTTTTTAAGATCTCAGATTGTATGGTAACCTATATAGAGTTAGCTGGTCTTCCTTTAAAATAATCACATTAGAACAAGCCAGGGAACATGGCAGAGAGGCCAGAGTCCAGAACACTGAAAGGAAGGGGATGCCTACCGGGAAGTGCATTAAAATTTTAAAGAGTACATGATGGACAAAGAGGAAGCCAGCTACTCACCTAAGCAAAAGACTATCTTCTGGAATAAAGGACTGAAAACCCTGTCAGATTTTCCTAGAACGCTTTGTTTCTATTTAAAACTTGTTTAAACTAGATCAGACAAAGCAGCCCACTTCCTTCTTCCTCACAGACATTAGGACCACCAACCTCCTTCATGACCTTCAACAGCTTTACACTTACTCTCTGCAACATCTGAGCCAAAGATTATTTTTGTTCTGGCAGTTTACATTTCAACTGGAAATGCTAGAAAGCATAACAAAGCTTCAGCTAATGTCAACAGATATACATGAATAGCAAGGTAAAATATGTGAGAGTTATTTTCATCAGGGTCTGGTATCCTTATCAAACTGATTTGATGTTTCTGGTATGCATTGCTGATACACCACTGAGTCTTGGACTGCGCAGGAGAATTGACAAACTATTTGCTTGGATACATCAGGTGTGCTGGAGACAATGAATGGTATAATGGTAGCTACTCCAAAATTGTTTCAGAGAAAATGTGCATAACAAGTGGTCTTGCAGTATGAAGTGCTGAGTTTAGAACCATAGACATCTTTTGTTACCTAGTTCAAACTGATTCTATGGAACAACAAAAGTGAGTAGGAAGGGAGAGAAACTTAATTTCTCCCAAACACTATTTTTCATAGTTCTGAAAAAGAAAACAATAATTTCTGAACATCCTTTACTCCTCTTAAGTGCCAGCTGCCTTGCCAAACTCTCAGTCTTTTTTTTGTTTCCTCCTTACTCAAACAGGGAAGACCATGAATAATCCCTATAAATGTTAAAAATAAAATTTGCACTCCTGACATCTATATTGACAATATTGACAACATGAGAAACTTCTGTAACATCCCACATTTCATCTCCAAATGAAAGTGGTTTCCTCAGTGTACAGTATTAGTGCTATAAGAGGATGTTATCATTGCTGCAATCCTCCAGCATACTTTCTGTGTATAACTCGTAAGCACTCAACTGAAGTTGTTTTGAAACACATTCTAGTCTAAATTTAGTGGTGAGGATTCTTAATAGCTATGTGAATTGTATCAAAATGATTAAATGAAGAGATAGATTTATTTACTTTTCCTTCAAGAACAGTGTCTTCTACCTTATACTAGCATGTCAGTATTTATATCCTGTTTCCAAGGCCTTTAAATATTGCCACATTTTTTATTTATAAAGCAGCATTTTGCTTCCTATGCTCAATAGATTCCCTTCTTAAAAATGCACCAACATATCATACAGTAGAATTACATATTGCTCAAAATAGTTCTACCTGTAAATATAGTGTTACTCTTCAGAAAAATAATATTACATTAAAACAGTACATTGTAAGAGCCAACTAAAATTTACATAGTATATTTTTCACCCTTAAGGAAACATATTAAATGTATTCTCGATAAACATTACTTCTGATAATTCAGAAAACCACATTTTTCTAGGAAAAAAAAAAGATATGAAAGTTACCATTTTCTACATATTAAAAAATTTCAAATTTTTGTCTTTAATTTCTTGTCTTTGCTCATGCTAGCACTTTTCCTGTCTGATTTAAACCCTGCCAACATTAGTGTAAGTCGGATACTCCATAAATAACAAAAATGGTTCGCACCCCGAAAGTCCTAGTTAGATGATGTCAGTGAGAGCCTTACATGAGAATTAGTGAGCAAAAAAGAGGTTTGACTTGACTACAAAAGAGTAGGAAGGGAGTGATCAAATGGATTACTTCTACCAAACTTTTTATGCCACAGTAGATGCGAGGGCAAACAAGACTGTGCACAGCTTATCGTGGCCCTACACTTGTGTGCTGCTCGGGAGAAACCCTGACACGAGCAGCACATACAACAGCAATGACATATGAACGTTGCATCACCTTATCTCATGCGTTGTGCAAGCTAACAAACACTATTGTCCCTATGTGCTTTTAAGGTGAGTGCTTAGGTGTGGCTGCAAATTTACGCAATGCTTCATATAACTTCATATAATGTGGCTACTATTTGTTAGTGGTTTACGAGACTAAATTCAGATTTAAGTAAACCTAAACATCTGTCAGTGGAATTGAAGACATGATAGTAGAGGGATTCCACTACCAAAATATGCAGTCCAAAAGAAAAGTGGAGCCTTAACAATAACAATCAAAATTCACTGTTTTCACAGTCACAGAGAAGTTAAACAGTCTCTCTTACACACATCACCTAATGGTATTACTGAAACATTCTCTTTTAATGTAATTTGTATTTACAGATCCAGAATATTTCAAGTACAATTTAAATATGTTTACAGGCTAATCATAAGTCCCTGTGGCCAAGAGAATTCCCCTGCATAGTAGAGTTAATGCAATGCACATATATGCATGTGTGGTCCACTTGTGAGTGAGCAGCTAGGGTTCAGAAATGTAAGTTCAGCTTACAGTTTCTACCAATCCAACAGTATTGGCTCAAAAATTGCATTAGCTAAATGATACAAAACTGACTGGTATAAACTCACTTTGCTGATGCACCCTCATTCCTTCAAAAATTCTGGCTGCTTAGGCTAATTTTGGCTAATTTGATAGACACATGTCTGTAACTGATACCTATGAAACCTGCACTACTGTGTGATCAAACAAGGCATGGACCTGTTATTAATAAGCATAGAGCTGCAGCTTATAAGAGTTTCTTTCAATTTCTTAAGCAAAGAAGGAGGTGCTCTTACTAGTGGATATTCCTTTAGAATTCAAAATCGACTTTAAACACTTGCTATCCACTTCTTCAAAACTGTAACTAAAGGAAGTTTGTTACTTATCTTTATATCAATCTATACAGGCTGTTCCTAGGTAAGAGAATATGATTGTAGATTTGGGGAGTTACAGGTTCATCGTTTACAGAAGCTAAAGAGCAGTCATCTTTGAAAGAAGCATACTTTTTTGACAGGAAGACAGGTTGTCTAATTTTGCCTAATAACATTTGCACAACTACTTGAATAGAAGAGCATAAAGGAAGTAGAGGAAAGAGGGAAGGTATGATGGGCTCATGTGGTTTCTAATAAGATCAGATTTCCAAGAAATAGCCAGTTAATAATATATTTTCCAGGACATGATCAACAAGGTATGCTGATTTGTTTCCAGCAACAAATAATAACATTTCCACTGCATTTTTTCTATTTGTCTCTGAACACACCTTGCAAGTAGTAATGAAGTAATCCCCACAGCTTCTTGTGAGGCAGGGAAGTATTATTGTTTGTACCTAATTCTGCAGATGAGGAAACCAAGTCACAGAGGGATTAAATGACTCGGCCAAGGTCATATAGAAAGTCTGCTGCCACTCATGGTATGCGTCAGTCCTTGTCAGCACTCAGTGACACTCCCCGAAGAGTTCACTCAACCCCTTTCTCTGCGTAGGCCAGCATCTTTAAGATTTCATAAGTATCATCTTCCACCCTAACCTTGACTGAAAGAAGAAACTTCATCAGCCCAGGTCAGAGTCAGGCTGAGCATGATCCCCAGTTAATGGCTTTCTTTATGTTTCATTAGGACTCCTGATTATCTCCAGGATTCTACTTTATTTTCACTTCTCCCAGGAATTCCTTCTAATTGACTCTTCTAACTTAAAACTAAGTAGCTAGGCAGGATAATATCCATACAATAAATACATCAGTAATTATTTTCAAAGATTCATACATATTTCTCTCAGGACACAAACCTTCCCATTTCTACTCCTGCACTTAAAACCCTCCACCTTCCTTTCCTATACAATATAAATTAGTTTAAAGTTTCATGAATTCATGTCATACTTAACTGCACATCATGTGTGACCCAACAGTGAACACTGCCTTTTGCTCAGTTTAAACAGAAATACTGAGATTCAGCCACAGTCAAATAAAAAAGCCCCATAATGACTCAACATGTTTAAGACTCAAGACCAGATCAACAGCCATTTCTTCTGTGCTGGTCACATTAGGTTTCTGGTGCTACATAAAACTCTGAGATCCCCCTTCCTCTTCCTCACCTTCAAACTGAGATCTAGGATTCTTGCATTCTCACCTGTTTCTACTTAAAAGCAACCCTATGCCAATAATAGCACATTTCCGCCATTACAATGGTAGAAAAGAAGTAGAGCTGCTCTAGGTATTTTTCTTTTACTGATTCAATAATTGAGCTTTCGAGTTCACTTATTAATAGTGTTGCTCCAAAACCAGGAGTGCCTTTTATTTGAGGACAGAAAGTAATTTTGTAAAAAAGAGAATAAGCATAAGAGCTGGAGGAGCTGCCATCTATTCCTTGCTCTGTCACAAATTTCCTGTGTGACTCTAACAAGTCATTAATCTCTATATGCCTCATCTAGAAAATGGGATAATGACATTTAACTATTTCATTGGGAGGCTTAATGGTTGTGAAATGTGCTAAGCTCCTTGGATGGAAAGAAGCTGCTGTCAGAGTAAACAGTAATAGCATCATTATGTTTGGTGGGAAGTCACTTTGTAACATCAATATCACAATTCTGCATTACACAGACAAGACTGGCTAATCAAATGAGTCAGTGAGAAATTTGTGTTTTATTTCACTTGTGGTATCTGTGCATACTATCTGGACCCCAAAGTCCAGATGAGTTGTTAATGCACTGTAAGTCTGCGGAAAGAGATACCTTCCTTAGAAAATAACACATCCTTTCTCTCGTGTTAGAATCTAACTGCAAACATCAGCCTATAAAACATTTAGAAACATGCCTATGGGCTTTGAAATGTGCTTCAGATAAGTACATCCCACCATGTGACAGATCAGTCATAGAGAGTAGGACAAGTATTAGTTCCTTTTTGATTTTCCCTCTGATATTCTAGAAAACAATGGGTGTTAAACTTAACATATCTGGCATTCACATCCTCTTAGATGGGAATGCATCTGTGGATTCTGAACACATTTGTGAAAAAGTATTTAATTCATTCAGCCAGTGGAAAGCACAGATGCTTAGAATCTTTAAAAAATCCCACTTAACCTTTTTGAAAGATCTCTGTGGATGTGGGTATCTACTGTTAGATACGCATACTCAGCAGTTCTAACTTCCTAAAGCTTTGTGTCTCTCCAGTGTCCCATCCTCTCCCTTCTTCCCATCCATTTTTGCTCAGTTTGGCTTCTTTTTAGGTTTATATTCCTTTAATTGAGAAGATGGTGTCATACCAAATACTCTTCTAAACTGCTTTTGTCCATGAAAAGTGTGATGACTATCTCCTACAACCTCAAACAAGTCATGCTGACAAAATCACTGGTAACGTATTTTTGGGCAACAATTTGAAACTAATGCTTCTGCTTCCACCATAGCAGTCCTCATTTCATTGTGATAAGGGATTAATACTGGTCACCTAAATCCCCTGGGATGTTTTAATGTTGGCAAAAAGTCAATGAACATGTGTTGTTTCCCCTTTCAAATTGAACGGTCACCTGAAGTAAATATATCTGTTTATATTCACTGTTTGTAAATACCCAATACCTCCCTACTGATACCTCAAAAAATCTTGATATGCACACTCAGCATCTTGACTACATGAAATAACAAGCCCACCTTTTTACTTGAAAAAGGAGCTTAATCGAGCATTTTCTTTCACCAAATACTTGCTGTTAAATAACAAGGAAGAACAGCAGTGTCACATAACTGGCAAAAGAGTATATAAGAGAAAGCTATTCCTATATCACCATATTCCAAAGGCATTCTCAAAGGTAAAGCATGGCTTTCATGGGATTACTAGGTATGGTATTATAATCACAGCAGAAGTACAGTCTTCTAATCATGGTGGCACTACAAACTGTAGCACTGGTCCAATCAGTTCACAATGCTTTAGAAATCTAACTGAATTATCTCTAGGAAACATTTTTTGTCTGCAGGAGAGTCCTAGTTCAGGAAAAAGATAAGATCTTGGAATAATCATGAAGTTCACATATTATTTGGTCAAATACAGAGCAACTACCTAGCTAAACAATAGTTAAGATTTCAGTACACCATTTTGCAATGGTGTATTGAAATCTCTCCACAGCAACGCAGATGAATAAGGATCCTCTCACATCTGTCACATTTAATGGTTTCATATCTTAAAGATCAAGAGATCCCACAACACCACGCTGGTGGCCATTGAACTTCTGTATCATTGGAAAGTGAGTAATTCTGAGCACAGCCAAAAGGTGTAATTTAAGTTGATTTGTAGGTGGTTGCTCTTTTCAGTTCCATCACCAAATGAGTTGATTCACATCAACCCAAGTAAAACAAAAGACCAATTATGATATATATGTACCCAGAACTCTTCTAAGTGGGTCAGCAGGTTAAAATATTCATTCTGCAACCAGCACACTGAAAAACACACATGAGCTAATTAGGCAAAGTCCTGAAAAGAAGAAAAAAATTACCATTTACTATAGCAAATTTCAAAAACTCAGTCAGAAATGAGTTGAAATAGGAATTTGTAACACAGAACTACTGTGACTGTTTCTGCTTGGTAGTGTCTAAATAACACTAACTCCGTTAGTATCAGTACTTTAAACAGATGACAAATTATGAATTATTATGTCAAGGTTACAAATTAGATGCAAGAATATCTGAATAGACTGCTCCATTTCCCTGACTGTTTTCTGCCTGTTTCTGTGCTCTGCCAACCCTTTGTGACAAGAATAATTTTAATATATATTTCTACTAAAGTGTTCAGTTCTAGCTCTTGCAAGACAAATGATAGGAGATATACTACAGCAGACAGCATTAAGCCTCTAAAAACTCTTGGATTAACTTCACTCTCAATTTTAAAACAAGACGATTCACCTGTTTTACAGATTGCTGAAAAATAGATGAACTGTGACAAGACCTAAAACTGATCACCCAGTAAAGCTGGGGCTTTTCTGGTATGTGTTTGTACTCTAGAATCTCTAGTTGTAAAATTACATCAGGGCATCTAAGTTCCAAACATTTACTTTCAGCAAAAGGAATGCAGCAACTGCTCTGTATAAGCTGATCTCACTGACAGGTCTGTGCAAATCTACACTGGCTTATAACAACACAGAGATTTACAACTGAGAATGAGCCCTACTTTTAACTCCGAAGGCAGTGTCTGCCAGCAGGACCTAACACTCAGTGGAGAAAAATGTGATCTTGGCATGACTAAGGTAGGCATTAGAAGATAGACAGCTGGGAGTGGATGAACTGGAATGGGCAAGGTTGAGAGTATTAAAATTTGGCCTATTTCTTCTACCAAAATGCTCACTGAATGATTTCACAGGGACCAGGTGCCATACAGTTGGTATGTAAAAAACAGCAAAAATAAACCACTCTTCAAAAAAAGTGTTAGGAAGAAGAATGTGTATGACAAGTTCATGCAAATTATGAATTAAAAAATACAGGAAAATGTGATGAGGCATTTAAAGTATTAGAAGAAGAAGTTACAGTTTACTTATTTTCCCTTGAATCTTGCTCTTGAAATCTATTTGGCTAGATCAGTGGAAAAAATAAGATACAATATTATGTATCAAGCCCAGGTCATTCTCAAACTCTCCAGCTGATTATCTTTCCATCTGATTTGAACTGTGTGAAATTACAAAGGACATACCATACCATGCAGCTACTGAAACCACTGTGCCAAGATTGCAGAGCTCTTACATTGCTCAAACTCTGCCTTGCTAAGAAGGCAGAAGCATATAAGAGTTGAACTGAAAAGAGTAAAAGGGGAGAAAAGGAGCAACGGAGGTCAAGTCACAGAACTGAGTCCCCAAAGTAAGAACTGTAAACAGTATGCAACTTCCACTTTAACATTTTCAAAGCTTCAGGTCTGAGTGACCCTAAAGTAGCTGCTCCCCTCTGAATTAAATTTGCTCTTTTTTCCTGTATCAATATTAAACATTTAATGGGTAACTATAGGAAGCTTATAATTTCAGAGCATAAAAACTAACTTTCATTATAATTCTTGTTTGTAACATATGATGTTAACAAGTTTAGAGTAGAAAAGTTTGCTGTCTTTAAAATTCATACATACAATAGACCTCAAATTGTAATGTCTATGTGGTTAGCTGGAAGGTATCTAATGTTTTACACATTTATAATTTATTATTTTGAAAGAGTTTAAGTGTTGTCTAATTGTAGAGGGCCACTGTGCTGGAAGGGTTCCATACAAAGTTCAAGGGCTGACACTGACCTGTGTGGTGATGGCCTGGAGCCCTGGGGAAGTGGGATGTCCCTTAATTTAGTATGATGTAGTAAAGACACATCACAAAATTTCCTGGTCTCTTGGTTAATGGTAACCTCGATTCTAATTCCCTTGCTGTGAAAACAGTAACTAGCTGGATACACATGTTCCTCAGTACACCGTGGCAGCTGAACGCAAATGGTGTGGAGATGAGAAAAAAATTAAACAAATTTAATGTTTAATCCTGGGCAAATTAATTTGGAGGCATGCAACTGGTAGGCTTTTGCCCAAAATAAAAAAATACATAATGGAAACAAATTGAAAATATCATCATTATTGTAAATACTGAGAACAGTGATTATTATTTTTCAAACTTCAGCTTTGTATGGTTGAATTTGCAATCCTGGATCTAAACTCAGTGTTTTTGCTTTTCTAGCTAAAGGAAAACTCTCCTGCTGTAGAACTCCATCCCACCAACACTGAGATTGGACCAAAATGTAATGGTTCCAGGTTTGGCTTAGGATGGTAGCTACTTAGGATGTTAGATCAATAGCTGCTGCTATTGATCTGCAATGCCACTTGGGGGAATGACAAACTGGACTTCTTGTAAGCAGTTGAGAGAGACATTTCACACAACTAAATAACAACTTATTAGAATTGTTAATCTATTTCAAAAACACTAATAATATTAAATTAGAGCAGTATTTTCCACTTACCACTAGAACAGAAACATATGTTTTAATGCCTTCAAAACACAAACTTCTAGGTATGTTCTTACTTTAGTCAGACCCATTCTGACCTTCCTTTTGTATATCAGAAATCTTGTGAAATAGTTTTTTAAAATTTTGGGTAATACATATTTTTCACTATGACAAAAAGTTTGGAACAGTGCAACCATGAGCATATTAGTGCAACATGGGAGCAGGTTTAATCCTCACCATCCTAAAGAAGTAGTGGTCCAGTACAACCCTGAATTTCTGTCTAAACAAACATGAATAACAACTGAGATAATCTCCAAAATCAGGAAAAAACCCCCAAAAATACGGGTAAATGGTTGAAAATTGCATCTACTTAAGTCTCATTCTCCAGTATTTAACAACCACAGTAACTCAGAAACTAAAATGGAAAGTGTAGCATTAGTGGCAATCTGACTCCAACTAGCCACAGCTATTTATTTTGAGAGAGAATATAGAAAGAGGAGGGAGGGATTTGTGAGGGAGCCAAGGGAGTGCTTCATGTTTCATCATATCCTGTTTTCAACACTTTCCTTAAGCTTACCCTACAATTAATGTTAGGAACAGATCTTGCAGCAGCCTAAGGATATTTGCTCTTTCCTGGATTTGTGCTGTAGAATCTTACACTGAACTGATGATAATTCTAAACAATAAACTTTTTTCAAGTTCATCAATAAAGCAAATTATCTGCTGCATTCCAAAGTTCTGGATGACAGCATTAGTCTTCAGTTGGAGTGACCTATGACCTACTGATATTATTTTGGAGTTTAGAATGAGAAAAAATTAAATCTTTCAGAAATTGTTTGCTTGACACACAGAAATCCAGTGGATCATACAAAACTGAAGTGCTAATGAAGAATGAAAATTAAAAGCATAGCATATGCAATATGAGGGACTAATGTAACTTTCATTAGCAAGGCTAAAACTTATAAACTATCTTTGGAGCACATTTGGTGTATTGGAAAGACTAGAGGCAAATTTATAAGTACAGACTCAGCTATTTCTTAGAATATTTTTCCTAACAAAAGTATTTCTAGAAAAGTAATAAAAGGTTGAATTTAATGTGAAAGAAAATGTATCATTAACAGCGCTAAAGTTTAAAGTGGCTGCTTTTTTCTGGTTTTGGATAAAACTAAGTTCCTAAAACAGCAATGTCACTTATAGTACCAGAGGATAATGGTAATTATACTCTCCACTTGCAAGCATAGCAAAATGATACCTAGTGTTACAAAATAGGAGGGTGTCGGCTTCCATTTATTTGGTAATCTAGATGAAGAACCCTTCTTTGCTCAGAAATAATGTGACAGGAGAGGTGTGGATACACTTATATACGCAAAGAAGACTATTTATTTATATGGCTTGGGAAACAAGAAGTTAGGTGTGCCAGGCTTGAGCAACACCTATTATCATTTCTGCAGATAGCTTACTACACTGAAATCAGTCCTGTGATGCCACTTGATTAAGTGCCATTGCATCATAATTCCATTTTCTACTTCATATCCAAACCATTTTTGCAGTTCCCAAAGTAGATTCATCCTAAAGCACCTGACAGTAATACAGTGACAGAAAATGCGCTTTCAGAAAATGGTAAGGAAGAACACAAATGACTGAGGGAGAGGCAGATGACACTGGTCAGTGGCACTGCACATGGTACACTTATCCTTTAATGATAAAGTATGAAAAGTCTGATGCATACCAATATCTGAACATGGATAGGTTGGTAACTGAAAATAACAATAACTGTTTCATCTCCATTTATTCATAATTTTTTTGAAGTATCAGAAGAAAAAACTTGCTGAGTGGCTCAACTAGTTAATTGATATAAACAAAAATTTCTCAGTGACTTGGAACAAGAGTCATTTCTTGGATGTGAGATACTTTCATGTTTTAGGCATGAGCTCTTCATAGCAAAGCTAAATTTACTATTGCTGGCAGTCAATAATTTCCCTATATCTTCAGCTTGTGAGCTACTTCTAGACTATCCAACAGAACATTATTATGCAAGAAATCATATACTTACACTAACTTGACATATTTTTAAAACCAATGTATGAAACGGTTAGTTAGGAACTAAAATTTCATCTGCATCTTCACCAAGCTTTCATAAGCCAAACATAACTCAAATATACAGACTTTTTTTAATTTACAGTTATTATTATTGGATTACTCCTAGAACTTCTGGTGCCTGAAACTCTGTATAAGATTAAAGACTCTGACTTAACATTTTTTTAAAATGACCACTTAAGTTATAATTTCTATGAAATACAGATCTTGTCATACAGATGCAGCAATTGGAACAACAGAGGAAAGAATAACTAAAGAAAATGGTTTTGCTATGGCCTCTTTTCTCAGAGAAGCATTCCATTCCCACCACAATAGCATTCCCACCACAACTTTTTAGAAAAAATACAGAAACAAAATAACAATTAGAACAGAGTAGTTCTAGAAAGACAGCATCAACAGAAGGTTTGGCTCTACATTAGAGATTCTGGAAACAATACTATCATTGTTACCTGATTACTCCTGAGAAATTAGTTATGCTAGCTTCATTGTTGTTTTTTTTTTTTTTAAACCCAATCACCAGTAGAATCTTCAGCCTTATAAATCAAGGAGATTCATAAAGGTATATCTACTCCTAAAAGCATCAGTAGCTTAACTTGAGCTTAGTTAAATAAGAATTTAGTAATGAGCAATTTATAATCGCAGTAGAAACAACATGAATGCAATCACATAAAAGGACACTCCTTTTCTCTCCTGTCCTGAGAAGTCCTGGAAGTTGAAGAATTTACCTAAAATTGAAAAAAATCTCCCTTATGGCCTAGTCTGTCTGCCTTGGACTGGATGTAGGAAACATGTTTTGTAGAGCTGACTGTAGATTAGAACATCAAAATACCAAAAACGTTTTGGAAACTTTGTCAACAAACCAAACGAATGTGTAACTGTCAAGTAATATTTCTGACAAAAATGTAATTAAGAGCTTTTAATGATGCAGATGGAATCTGAGAATGTGAACTGCAATCCAGAACAGACAACTGATTAGGACAGCTCCATCTCAGACTCAGGCAGTCCTCCTGATTCTAAGCAAGGTCTGCCTGCTGTAGTTCAGACCAGGAATACGCTTCCACATCACTGCTGAAGCACTTGTATTCTTTATTTTAGCAAAATCTATCTTATTCCTCTATTTTTAAGGTTCTTTGCAGACCTCATTCTAGTGCACCTTGGCAATAACTACACTGTGCCCAACTCTGCCTGATCCACCAGGTCCTTATTTATGCTGAGTCAGCACCTCTCACTAACCGTTCACTCTTTTATTAAGAGACCGCTGTCATACCACATCAAGAAGGAATCTTTTATGTGCAAAGTAAATAAATTACCTCCTGGTGGCAATCTATTTTCAGATTTTGTGTAAGTGTAAATGACTTTTCAAATATTTTAGAGTCTGGAAGATGCGTCATTCATTCTTCTGAAATAGCTTGACTTTGGTGACTTAAACACAAAGATTTAGTGAAAGACACTTAGTGAAAGATTTCTCTTGTGTTTCTTTGCAGAAGGCTACTGATGAGCTACATTGAGTGGTTAACATGGAGATGCTGCATGTATTTATTTGGCTAAGTTCATAACAGACTAATTTAAAGAGGGTTTATTTGACTTGATAATGAATTATCATTTTCAATCACTTAGACTCTTTAAATTTGTAAAAATAAAAAGACACCTATTAAATAAAAAGTATTTTTCCAAGCACATGTAGTGAGCTTACCAGAACAAGGGCTATGACTGTTCATGGCATCATAATCAACATAAGAATATCCTCTTAGGGCTTCCAGAGAAAGCCTTAATACAAATATATTAATTTGCTGATAGACATCTGGAAGGTACAAGGGAAGCCCACAAAGAAACTGTTTAACTGTGACCTTTCTCAGTAGAAACAACTGATGTCTATAGTTTAACACTCACAGGTCTCCTCCAGATGTGCCAGAACTGGGACATGTGTCTTGGCACTCAGACTTGTCAGTCTGAGTCTAGATAGTTTCAAAGGTATTTCCTGACAGTTTCCCAAGCCCTTCCTTTCACTCTGCATAGCAGTGAGAAGTCACCGCAGGATGTGTTCTCAAGATGCAATGTCACCAGGGTTGCACTGAGTTTTCACTTTCAAAAGCAAAAGCAAGTGAATTCCAATTCCTTCAGCAGCTAACATTGCAAGGAATAGCCAGGTAACAATTTTTGGTCCATATTTATAACATTTTTCATGGTGAATTTGAAATCTACTACAAGGAAAAAAACAACTCACTTCCTATAAACAGTCATTTCCCAAGAGCTGGAACAACATCTTCCATTTTGTTCCAAAATAGTAAGCATGCCTGGAATCGTATCTGAGATAATTAGAAGTGCACTATATTTAGTATATCTGTGTTTTTAGGCAATTCTGTACTCACCAGTCTGCAACTGTTTGATTGGGATAGAGTCTAGTAATGCCTACCAATGTAATCCTCACAATGCCCATCATTCATCCTCAAAACAAAAGCATCTGGCTTCTGTTTGGCATTCCCATTTCATGGCAACAGATAGAAGTACAGCAATAGATAAAAATTTTAACAGATAAAGCCTCAGAACAGCTAATGTAATACATATTTTAGTAGTGCAAGTAGCTATAGAGCCTGATTTGCAAAGATTGCTCATTACAGTCAGCATAATATCAGACAATGGATCTAGAGGCTGAAGACAAAACATGTCTACTGATGCCTTTTGACCTATATTTTTTTTTCTTCAATCTTAATCCCTCTCCTACAGCATCACTGATTCTTCCATCAGACAGAACATGATCTTCCTGTGTGAGCTGTGGCTTACACCAGCTTCCTAGCTGACAATGTAATTTTTAGAAACCTTCCTATCCTTCTGGCAAAACTTTCAATCCTGAGGCTTGATTACCAGGCCAAAATTCTCCATCCTACAGACCAAGCCTGAGAAGACCTAATTTTTACTAGACTACAAAATCTTTTTTTCTCAAGTACTTGACTGTTAGGTTCTTTAGTCTCCCACGTAGTATTCAAGATAAGGCAAAATGAGTGACATGTAAACAATGACATGTGATTTCATAGATGAAGTAATAACATGAGAATATACACAACTCCTAGTATTTTGAAGAGGCGAATCTGTTTTGGAGGACTAGGGGAATGGAACATACAAAGTCCAACTCCTTTCATGGTTTCAGTATCATGTAACCCCGGATATAAGGTGCACACAGAGATCTGAGCATAGAAGAAAATGCAGAAATGAACTGAAGACAACATGGCAACAAAGAGCTCCAAAGAGGTGAGGGACAGGCATCTACACAGAGCCTGTTTACATGGAAGTCATGACTCATTGAGTGCCTTTCTGTGCAATGGAAGAAAGGAGCTGCGGGTGTGTGTGCAAGACCCATGGAGTGCATGTGCTCTATACATTGGACAAACACTGCTGCCCTCAAGAGAGCACATTTTGCTGAAACAAATAAATAAACTTCACACTAGTAGTATTCCCTTCCATATACTAGTCAGGGAAATGCTTTGAACTTGGACTTCACTTAATTACACACATCTAGCTAGTTAACTAAGGCCAAGATCATGTGTTTTTGAAGTGGTCACTCTTGCCCTTCCATCTGATTGTCCCCTTGTCTATTGCTATTATTCATGATGTTAAGCCTAAATGTAAGATTATCACCTTTTGGAGGCAGAGACCAAGTATTATACCTTTGAAGTACAATGAATCCTAATTAGGTATAATCAATAATTATAGTTGTGTAATGGAAGGTGAGGAAAAGGAAATGGCTGAGATCATAATAATTACTTTCTATTAGGGCTGGCAAGGAAAACTAGTGTGAGCAGCTAGCCACCTGAGAAAACAGATACCTATTTATTTGGGGTTTTCTTAGAGTTGAAATAGTTAACTTAAAGTACACTGTCACACTAAACATCATTCATAGCTTCAACAAACTCTAGAAGCAAAGCTATACTTTCTTTCCACTTGAGGTACATATGTCTCTGAGGGTTTTGCTGTGGTAACCTCTGTGGAATGCAGCAATTACCACCTACGTGGCAAATTGGAAGTGTTACATTCCTCTGCTAGTAATCCACTCCTCCATTTAGCCAGAGGTCAGGGAGGAGAAGGAGGTGACTCTAATAGAGGGAACAGTCAGACACACAGTATTCTACCAGAAGGACAAAGATGCCACTAGGTGTTAACCTCACAATATAAGATTTAAAAGCCCCTCCACATGGAATGTGAAAGCCCTGTTACACCCACGAGAGACAAAATAATTTGGACAAAATCAGAAATTGAGCTCCATGACACTTCTGATCTAATATTTTATGTTCCTACTGACCACTGAACTCTCGCATTTCCAGAAAATCGCAATGCTATCCTGCTAACCCAAGGCTGTTTTTGTTTTTTTGTTTTCTGACATGCTCAACTTCAAATGTTACATGTAAAACTGACAATTTTATGCTGCAGCTATATAAATAAATAAATAAATATCAGCATGTATCACCATAATGCTACCACTTCAGAACTCAAGTTTTACAAGTAAAATAATGTTTTATCTCCCAAATAGTTGTGGATAAAAGACAGGGTTTCAGAACAGATTGTGCATTTTAAAGGAAGAGAAAGCAGTGCTGCACAGATAGAAGCTGCTTACCTTACGAACCACTGTGTTATTCTGAACAAATGGGAGAGCAGCAAGA